CCAAATGGAATGAATTTGATCTCCAGTAGCACAAAAAATCATGTGTTTAGTTACATCATTTTATCTTGTTGAACACTTTATTAAATTTTTGTTTCGTTATTATTTTGTATAATTTATTTATTTTTTTCATTTTCTCCCTGGAATGCCCGATAGATCAGCTTGGTAGGAGTTATGGGATGCATTTTGTTGCTTTGTTTTTTTATATTTCTGTGGTGTGTGTGTGTGTGTGTGTGTGTGTGTGTTCTGTAGGTTGATCAATCACAGTGTAAAGATTTTGTTGTCAGTATGGAGTTCTCTTTATTTAGTATCTGCTTTCCCATAATGTGATCTTGGCTTTGGTTGATTTTTGATATTCATCTGTCTTTGACCTATTCAGTTTAATAGGCTCAGATCCAGATTCTCTGTTGCAAGGAAAGAATACCTACTGACTATTTCAGCATCAACAGCTGCAACCATATATCATCATGTACACTACCCCCCTATTTTTTTTAATAATTTCACACTTTTTTCAGTGCCCCATACACAACTGCACTGTGCTAATACTAATGGACTGGGACACAGAGAGGAGGAGGAAGCATAAAGGAAGCAAAAATAAAAGGGGCAAATCCATAAGAAGATGGATAGAGAAGAGAAATATCCATATATGAAAAAGAGACAGAATATTGGAATTTATTGGAGTTATTTTCAGAGCTGGAGTAAAGGGCTAGTGTTGAAGGATTTGAGAAAATGGTTGTGGGAGTAGGAGACGGGATGCACAGGGTAACTGGAAATTGAAAGCAACTCTGAGAGTGTTAGAACCTGCTAATATGGTGGTAGTTAGCTTATGTTTAGATACTCTGTGAACATATTTGGTGAGGATTACACTGAGTTGCCCATGAAAAGTACCATTTAAGTTAAAGTACTAGCTAACTCTTCTTCTCAAAGGGAAAATAAAGGGATAAGAAAGAGAATAAGAGGAAAAAATAACAAAGAGACATCAAAAACATCTATTATGGTCAATACATTGTGTTAACTTGAGAAGTGTAGAAGCTCAACTAATTAACTCAGCAGTTCTGCATTCTGGGGTGTAAAGGATATGCCCATACTGTTCCAGGATATTGCTCATTGTGGCAACTTGGGAAGTTTAGAAACTTAACTAAGTGACTCAGCAGGGGGCCTGGGTCCTTGCTTTGTAAATATCCTAAGCCTGTGCAAGAGGAAAGCAGTAAGATGATGTGAGTAGTAGACTACTTACAATACAAATGAGAAAAAGAGTCTTTCTTGTTCTTTCCCCCTTTCGCTCTTGTTGCTTTTTCTGTCTTCTGCCACCTTGAATTGTTGCTCTTGTGCCATGCCACCCTGCCTCAGAACCAGCTGATTATGGACTGAAACCTCCACAAACCATGAGCTAAATAAACCTTTCCTCCCTTAGTTTTGAGTGTTAGGTATTTTGTCTCAGCAATGAGAAGAAAAGTACTGCTACCACCACCACCACCACCATACAGTGCCCAGAATACAAAATCAAAGTGACCTCACAGAATCATTTAAATCACGGAGACAACATCTTTTACATTAGCATCAATTTAGGTGGGAGGTTGTTTTCTCTTAGGGCTTGAAATATCTCACTCCAAGCTCTCCTTGATTTGAGGGTTTATGTTGAGAAATCTCCTGTGATTCTGATGGGCTTTCCTTTATAAGTGATTTGTTTCTTTTCTCTAACTGCTTTTAATATTTTCTGCTTGTGCTGAATTTCTGGTGGAGTCTTGATTATTATATGCTTTGCTGTGTATTTATTTTCATCATGGCTGTTTGGAGTTCTATACACCCCATTTATTCATATGTCAAATTTTTTATCCGTGTTTGGGAAATTTTCTGCCATTATTTCTGTGAAAAGACTTTTTTTAAATGTCATTTGCACTGTCTCCAGCTTTCTCATTGATCCCAGTCAATCTTATGGTTTTGTTGGTTTGCTTTGTCTTGTAGCTGTTATATTGATTTTTACACTATTTTTAAATTTATTTGTTTGTTTGTTTGTTTATTTATTTATTTATTTGGTACTAGGAATTGAACTCAGGACCTTGCACTTGCCAGGCAGACACTGTGCTACTGAGCTATCTCTCCAGCCCTCTCATGCTATTTTTAAGATATCTTTTTCTCATGGTCACTAGCTGTAATTCTGTATTTTAGATCTGATACTCTGCCCTCATCTTTGTTCAATCTGTTGCATATAATTTAAACAGAGGTGTTAATCTTTTGGATTTCTGTTTGGATCTGTTTAATGGCTTACATTTTTTCATATGTTGAGCCATCATATATTTTCCATCATTTTTCTGAGCTGTTCTATTTTTTATGTGTGTCTATTCTAATATCTTTTATTTTGAGCATTATTTCTTTTTGTATTGTGAGGTTTCTTTCTATAGCCTTTTGTCCAGGCCTGCAGGTACAGTCAACGTGAACCCTAGAGGGGGAGTGAGGATTATAAAGGGACAAGAGACACGAAGAATGGAGACAAGACAGTGCTCTGATCAAGTCTCGTTTATTAGCGGGAAGTGCCGTGCTTATATACAGCATGGAGAAACGCGGAAGTTCTAAGGCGGGAATAACCAAATAACCCAACAAAGGCGGGAGTAACTAGGTAATGGTGGGCAGTCCTAGTTCTTGAGGCGGGAGTAGCTAGGCAACGGTAGGCAGTCCTGACTTAAAGGGAAAGGCGCATAAGATGGCTACTAATATACAATGGAGGTCAGTCACGGTCTCCTACAGCCTTTTCCATTTGTTTTATTCACTTCTGATACTGTCATTTCAGAAAGTTCAATAATATGACTTTGATTTTCTCTATCTCATTGTGCTTGTCATGGGTGGGCTGGGGGTCCTGGATTGCATTTTGCTTCTGTATCTTGTCATTTTCTATTTTTTATTTTATTTCATTTTCTATGTTGATGCTTGCTGATATCTTATGGTAGAGAGCTTTGTCACTTTTATTGAGGTTTCCCGAGGAGGTGTCTATACTTCAGGGATGTCTTCTAGATCTAGGTCTATCCCATGAACCTACCTTCCCAATTTATGTCTATCCCAAGAACCTACCTTCCCAATTTGTTAAGGATGAAAAGTTGCTATTTGGCTAAGCACAGAGCTTTTCTTACTGGACTACAGTGGTGATTATGAGTCCATACACTCACAACATTATCATACAAGGAAGAAAAACTGATTATAAGATGTGTGACATCTTGACAATAACAATATCATGAAGTACAGCCTAGTTACTGACAAGTTGTGGTAACTATTAACCTGATGCTTTAACCAGAGGAAACAATTCTATAGTTACATAAAAAAAAATCCAACATTCACTAGGAAGTTTTATGCAATGATTTTCCTCTTACTGGAGTGTTTTAACCTGTTTGGAGGGTGAAGATGTTAAGAAGGATAGGGGACAAGATAGAGAGATGAATGAGGTCAATATAGTAAAAACAAGGCTTGAGAGCAAAAGATGATCACATAAGTTTTGGGAAACTAGAGGACACGGGAGAAAGAATGAAAGAGAAAGTATAAGAGTATTGAAGTGTATCAGAAAGAGAAGAGAAAATGTATACTCAGGTAAAAATATCATAAATTCAAAAGGTAATTGAGGAAAGAGAGAAAGAGGATGAGTAGAAGAAAACACAAAGAAAGGTAAGAACCTAAACAGTGAAAAATGAAAAAAGAAAGAGAAAAAAAGGAAAAAAACCCACAAGAAAACAAAGCAAAACCTAACTAAACCAAGAAAGGATAATCAGATAAAGAAAATTAAAAATAGTAAAATTCCTCTGATGTGTGGTAGTGCTGTAGGAAAATAGAATCAATAGTAGCCAGGACCTCGGGAGAGAAAAGGAAATTTTATTAATGCTGGTAGACCCCAGAGGAGTAATCTCCAAAGTCCAAGGCATTGATTACAGAAAGCTTGTCTTTTTTGTAGGGTGGCAAGTAAGAGTTACAAAAATCTAAGATAAGCATAGCTGAGGGCCATGGTATAATGTTTATCTGTCTTGTGGTGAGCACAGCTGTATGTAGCAAAGTTGTTTTTGGCACAGTCATTGAACTTTTAATTTGATAACAAATCATATGATTTAGCTAAGTTCTATGTCAAAGAACAGAATGGCCACAGTTTTATTGAAAAAAAAAATGGCTGCAGTTAGGTTGGGATTTCTTCTTTAGTAGTATCCAAGTCAGATCCCACAAATGTGCTGTGTATTCCAGTCCAGTTTACTGTGGGATTTGTCCTGGATATGGAGCTGTTGTTGGCCTCTGAATGTGGGGGCTGGGACTGGTCTTCTGTTACTGTAGTTCTCCAGAGTCCTTTGATATAGAATGGCACCTCCATCTGCTTCTCTTCCATGTGTCTGTGTGCCAAAGTACAACACTGGTTCACCTAACTTGTGAACTCCTGGACCATATTCCCACTGTTGTTTCAGACTTTTCCACACCATTGGTCTTGCTTGGAAGTGGTCTTGCTGATCATGCCTGTGTTCCCCAGCTGGGACCTGGCTTAGTCTTGTGGGTTGCTCCCACCTGCCAACATGTGTGTACCCACATCTGGGCCTGATCTGGTCTCACTTCATGGAAATAATTTTAAGACCTTATGTTACCTGATATTTTTCATCGCTGGTTACTCATAGTAATTGCATAACCCTAGCACTTTTGATATAATGGTCTTAGGTTGAGCATTATTTTTAAATGATCCTCAGATATTTATTGAACTCAAAAGGCCAAATGATTTTCCCAGTTATTGTTTAAGAGAATAAGATGCTACATGGTGAGACAATATTGCTTTCAGTTCCTTAGAAAAGATCATATCTTTATACTGTGAAGGTATATAGCTCATTTCATTGAGGTCACAATTAAATAGCTCTACACAGTGTGTATTCATGAATTTTACGCCAGTTCTAGGTAATATGAATTCAGGGATTTTCTCTGATTTTTCTTTTTACGTGTATCCATGTACACAATTTCAGTGACACTTTTCATTTCATATTTCTTTTCCTCAGTATTGTGATAAATGGCATTGTAAAGAAGTTCGATTTGTTCTCAATACAAGTTGCAGATCTTCACTACATTGTAGTAGCAAAGGGGTAAGTAAATTCAGTGTTTATCAAGAGCAGCATGATTTTTTCACAACTCAGTAAACAATCGGGAGGTCTGCAAAATGATCTGAATGGCATTTTTTGTCACTTTCATGGTATATAATATCATTTTATCATCTATAATTTATACCTTTAATCTTTTCTTCAGAAATTTACAGGACTATTTATTAGGGAAGAAAAAGAGGAAACATGAAGATGATTCCAGATGTATCTATGTTTGATTACTGTGGGTGGTAGATGTGCACTAAGCCCATGTAATGCTTGTGTCACCATATTAATAAAATCTTTTTTTTTTTACAAAGAGAAGGCAGACAGTAGCTAATAGTTTCATTAAAATTTTATTGCAAGTATTGATTGTTAACTTAGAATCTTGACTATCCTGTCTAGCTAGCAAGTTAATAATAATTAGGGGCATGTCACTATTAATTATGAGGTATTTGTATCTGGCTGTGGTTGGTAGTGAATAAAGTAAAAGAAGAAGAGAAAGAAAAAAGATGAAGAAGAACAAAAGGGAAAAGAAGGGAAGGAGGAGGAAGAAGAAGAGGAAGCAGAGAAGGTGGTGGAGGAGGAGAAATTATTTGACAACAGATGTTTGTCAATGGCTAAAACGTACTTTCTAAAGTACAGACAGACAGGTGATAGGAAGTTAAGAATAGTTGTTGTATTACATATAGTTATCTTCAAATTGGTTACTCAGATAAATAGATGTATACATGTAGGATTGATCAAACAATAAAACATTAACTGTTCTGCTTCTATTATTTTTATGTTGTTTTGTTTATGTCTGTGTTTGTTATTATGTTTTCATTCTTTTACCTTTAAAATAAAAAAGTACAGACAATTCCAAAGGAAGTTTGATTAATCTCTCTAAGATAAAGTCTCTATAATGAGATACTATGGAATAAGTATACACTATTAGTCTCCATCAAAAGCCATCTTTGTAAAAAAATGTTATAAGATAATAAAATTTATTTCATGTATAGAATGCTGAGGGGTATGTGATTTTATCTATAAGTTTCTGAGTAACAAAGAGTTCTAGGTCTTAATTTAATTAGGGGGCTAAAACTAAGGATCAGAGAATTTAGTTATAAAGAGTTTAAAAATCTAAAAAGGCCAGTATAAGCTGTTAAAATAGTAAGTGAATTATTTTAATGATGTAATAAAATGTTTTTTAAATTTTTGTATAGTAGTCATTTTATGGCAAAGTAACTCACCAAAATGTCTCTGTTTGTATTGATAATGTGAGACATAAGTGTAAGTCAATACATACATGTGCTCATATATAAAGAAAATTACTTTAAGTATTTTCCTACTGATATGAAGTTTAAAAACGTAATTTTTTGTTTTACAGAGCCTAATTATTTATTTTTTCTTGGTGATTTAACAATTTCTTGAGGGCTACACCATTAGATTCTCAGATTGTCAATAGTTATGTACAGTATATGGGATAAGTGGGATAGAAATGCACATTAAATACAGTCTTATTAGACTATTTTAAACATTCATTTAAATAGTTCAAATATTCAGTGGGTGAATAGATGGAAATATTACCTTCAAGCTATATTTAGGCTGTATGCCTACTGTTATTTTAAAATTTTATGTATTATAAATACTCATTTCAATATTAAAATTTGATATTTCCAAGAAGGCAATTTTTTTTATTAATTTAGATTTGCAACAATTTTCATAATTGTCATTGTGAAAAAGGATATTCTCCTCCTGAATGTGAAAAAAAAAAAGGAGCATTTGGAAGTGTTGATGATGGTCATGTGCCTATAACAGGTTAGTATCCATAAAATTACATAAATAGAACATGTACATGAACAAATTATAGATTTGCAGATATATGTTGCAAAGCAACTGATGCCATAAAAACATGACTTTATTGGGCTGGGAATGCAGCTCAGTGGCACAGCACCTGCCTGGCAAGCACAAGGTTGTGAGTTCAATTGCCGGTACCAAAAACAAAACAAAACAGAACATGACTTTATTTTTAAAAAGTGATAGAGTGATTCATACTGTTCTTTCTATATCAGCACTGACATTGGTAACTAAAGAAAAACTGTGTGCAGTGTCAAAAAATTTCAAGAGTTGAAATTTCATTGTATATAATTTGTCCAGTAAATTTAAATAGTTTACTGGATTGTTTCAAATACTCCTACTTTAAAATAGTATCAGCAGTCATTTATTTATGGTACTAATGCCCTTGGAATCATTCAGGCTGACTTTTCTTCTTGTTGGCTTCATAATTGCTTTTCTTTTTCCCATTATAAGGGCTCCAAGCTAATCTTTTGAAATGTCCTCTTTTACACCTCACCTCTTTTGTTCCTGAGTAGTATTCTGAGGTAAAAAAAAAAAAAAAAAAAAAAACATAAATGAGACTAGGAAAAACTAGGGGATGACTTTTGCTTCAGAAGAAATTGACCCTTTGGAAGATAGTGCAGTTGGTGTTATGGTTTGTGTCTGAATGTCCCCCCAAAGCCTCATGCAGTCATGGGGGAACTTCCAGAGTTTGTGATTGATTCATGGTCCAATGCTGGGATTATGGGTGTGAGTGCTACCCGACCCAGGGGCAGATAGTTTGAATACCGTGTAAAGGAGGGAAGGAGGCTTGCTCCCTGCCGCTCATCCCTTTTTGCTCTTGTTGCTTTTGCTGTTTTCCGTGGCCATCAACTATTGCCCTCTGCCATGTGCCACTCTGCCTTGGAGCCAGCCCAATATGGACTGAAACCTCCACCGGCTGTGAGCTAAATAAATCTTTCCTTCCTTAATGTTGGGTGTGGGGTATTTTGTCCCAGCAACTACGAAAAAATAACTAAGACAGTTGGGCTGTCCACTCTTCCTACCTTCTTTATGGTCCTGAGAAAGCAGTTATGAAAATCTTGAGCACACTTTTGTGTACTTGGATGTAATGAGATTATCAGTTTTTTAGAGACAACATACAATATCCAATTATGTATCAAGCTAAAAGAAAAGCATAATGCTCTAAGATATATGTAAGATATATGCGTAAATTATTTTTATAAAGTATGAAAAATAGATGTTTATTTGAATTATACATTGTTCTGTATTCTTTACTATTGAATTGCATAGATATCATTTAAACAAAGCAACAGTAGTAATTATATTTAATTATAACTAATTAAACAAATGCTATTTCTCAGACAAATTATACCAGTATTTTACAATAAAAAACAGAAAGTCCCCTGATGTAACAATTTAGCTTAAGAAACCCTCTTTACCAGATGTTTCAATTATATAGCCTATATTGTTATATACTCTTAAGGTACTATATACAAATGTAAGAATTTTAGAGAACATAAATATAGTAGGAGTCATTAGAGAGATGTTCCTTATACATAGATGTTCTTTTACATATAACAAAAATCACATGCTTCTATTTGTCCTATGATACAATCACATATTTTTACTTTTTGTGTTTCATGCTAGAATTACACTTCTCTGAACTGCTTGCATATGTGTTATATATGTGTGTTATAATACATATATTCATACATATATATGTGTATGTATATATACATACATATGTGTGTTGTAACACATACACATGTGTTATATACATGTGTTATATATATATACATATACATGTGTTATATATATATATATACTTCTCTGAACTGCTTACACCCTTTTATATATATATATATGTATATATATACATATATATATAGGCAAAACTACTGACCAAAGTCAACTGCAAAAGTAATTACTTATCCCAGATTTTAAAATAAGATTTTATGGCAGGACAATATGTTAACATAATTCCTGTGTTAGGCAACAATGATAGTCATCTGGTACATATACATATCTATGGAATCTATCTCTGTCCATTTCATACAGTAAAAAATTCAAATTAAGTCTGCATATTTTGAGGAACTTAAAGTAATTGTGATGGTTAATCTTGACTGTCAATTTGATTGGCTGAAGAGACACATGGGAGATTAATAAAGTATACTTCTAGGTATGCCTCAGTAGGTAATGGAGATATAACCTTGGGGACTATATATAGCCCCAGCCCCTTCTCTTCTTGTCACTTTTTCCTATCTTTCTGTTTCCTGGATGTCATGTTGTCATAGGGTTTTTTCAGAGGTAGCTAAATCTAGAGTGTGTGGTTGATTCCTAGTGCAGTATTGTGATTAAGGGTGCTGGGATTAAGAATAGTTGATTGCTGGATCAGTCAACTGATTGGATTGGCACTGCCCTAATCCCAGAAATCTAGATATAGGGCAAAGAAAGAAGCTTGTCTCCCTCTCTCTCTTCTCTTATTGCCTTTGCTATCTTCTGCCACCATGATCGGTTGCCCCTCTGCCATGGTACCCTGCTTTGGAGCCAGCTGATTATGGACTGAAACCTCTAAAAACTGTGAGCTAAATAAACCTTTTCACCTTAAACTTTAGGTGTCAGGTATTTTGTCTTGGCAATGATAAAAATGATTAACACATCTATTTCACTCGGCATGTTGTCCTTAATATCAGACCTGTTATAGTTTGTCTCTGAACTTCACTGGTTTTAAAGGTTAAATAACATTCTTTAATGATTATGCATTTTGTTTATGTACTCATCTGTTGACAGAAGCAAGTTATTTTCACACTTTAGCTACTTTGAATAATGCTGTTGTGACCATAGGTTTACAAATATTAGGCATGGTCGAAATGTATGGTGAATGTTGACATTTTTTTAAAAAAATTATTACAATGAAAGACACATTGCCATTGCTCTCCCTCAGATTACTTCCCTCACTTGGAACACATTTATCCCCTCATTCTTGGTACTTTCTGAAGCAAGTCTCAAAGTCCTCCTTTTTGAGTGACTTCATGATGTGTGATTAAAAATACAGAAATACTACTGTTGAGTTCTGTCCAGTAGAAAGGCATGCTTATAAAAAAATATTAGAATATATCCTTATCCATCTTACTCACTGGTTCTGGCACTGGGAAAATTGTGGCTGTTCCTCAAATTCAAAATTACCACAAAATGTAGGTATTTTGAATACACTCAGGACATCGAAGCAACCACAATGGCACAACTAAAAACACTCATGAAAGGGGGCTTCCAGTGCTGCTTCTGAAAGTGGCAAGAACGAAAGGATGGATCTGTGTTCAAAGTGAGGGAGAGTTTGAGTATCAATAATAATGTGTCTTTTATGGTATTAAAATATTCCCCATAGTTTTCAATCATACCTCATATATTTCAAGACTCTGTGTTCAATTATTTTGAGTATTTACCCAGATGTGAAATTGCGAGATCATGCAGTGATTTTATTTGGATTTTTTCTAGGAATTACTATGGTACTTGACAGCAGTTGCTGCATTTTGCATTCTCCCAGCACGATACAACTTTCCTGTTTCCCCACACCCTTGTCAGCAGTTGTTTTCTCTGTTAGCCATTCTCCCAGTGAGTGGAAAGTGGTGTGTCTCTTAGTGCTTTTATTCCTGTATAGATACAGAAGAATTTCTAGAAGCATCTTTTATAGATCAGGAATTATTTTAATTTTTAAGTGTGTTATAATTTTTTTGAAAATTGTTATGGAGAGAAGATATTTTCAGTCTGTGCTTTTAACATATTGCTTCTTAAATATAAGAAGCCTACTGAGTTTTGTGTATAAACTATGTCAATGTGTTGGCTCCTGCTGAATGGCTGGTTTAACCCATGGTTCATACCTATTATATTTTCATCAAAAGATTTTGTAGACCATCTTGGATGTTAACTACAGAATATATTTGTTTGCTTTTTGAAATATATATATATTATATATAAAGTTTACATATATTA